TCTGGGTCGTCCGTGCGCGATGCAATCTGGGTCATCCATGCGCATTTTTTATCTAGGTCATCCGTGCGCGCGGGAACGGATCTCAGCCGTTCGATCGTATGCACACGGATCACCCACGTGGCTCCCTCCCGCGTGGCCTCCCATATCAGTGTCCCTGCCATTTGGTATGTCCTGGTTGGTCGGGGCTGCTAACCGGGCAGCTGACGTGGCACAACTTTTCTAAATTGCGTTTTGACCTCCGGTTTTCGATTTTTCTTTCAAAAATACCCCCAGAACCCAAATTTTCACCCATTTTCCCCAAAATTATTTTCAAGTAAATCTCTAAACAATTTTTACCCCTTTTTATTAATATTATTATTATTTTCATTAAAATAAATTAAATTAAATTATATTCAATTAATACATATTTTATATTTATATAGAATTAATAAAAATGAAATAAAATAAATAAATAAAATAAAAATAAAAATAAAAATAGTTGGGTGTTACAGTGTGATTTGATACAGGATGACTCAGAAAGTGTTTTGAAATGTATGGCTATTATGTGTTCAATGATATCGTGTATTTTGTGTGTGTGTTTATGTTTAATTATATATAAAAATTAAGATCTTATGTAGAAAATGAGTGAATTAGAAATTAGAGGCATTTGAAAAGAGTGTAGAGTATAAGAACCCTAGATACCTACTCGTTTAGTCTGAATCGATGAGGAGATGGTGCGTGTGTGGCTAAAATTCAGCGAATATGGTGAACCTGCACATAGATAGAGTCTAAAACCTAATCCAGACGTGAATAGGCATTCGTATGAGTCTAGGTCACCTAGCAAACGTACCTGTTGTGGCCATTGTGTGATTTGTGTGTGTTATCCATGCGATGGGGAATTCATTTCACCTTTCCTCGATGATGATATAAACGACATCGTGCGATGGTAACCTAATTAAGCTTTAAGAGACTAAATAATGTGAAATTATAAATCTGAGCAGAGTGATATGCGTGTGTGAGTAAACTCATTTTGGTTTGAGAAATCTATGAATCCATGAGTTTGATTTGAAAGGAGAATAAGAATTATGTCAGAAGAGTGAGGATTAGAATATGTTTTGTGTGATGATTTACTTTATTGTGTATTTTGATTGTGATGCTTGTTTGACATTTTTTTTTATGATAAAAATTATTATATTTAACATATTGTGTGAATGTATGTATGTAAGTCTCCATTATAGAATCATTTTTTCTTAATGAGCTTGTGAAGCTCACCCCAATTCACCTACATCCAAGTCAAAGGAAATGAGGAACAAGTTCAAGATCAATAAAAGATGGTGAAAAAAAATTTTATTAGCTTTTATTTTAATATTATAAATTAATTTAGATACCTCAATTATTTATAAATGGATAATTATTCTGTCACAAAGAATGTGTATTAAAGTGTAGTTCTGCTGCATATTTAATATTTATCTGTTTCACTAATTGAAAATGTTGTGCTAACGTCTGTACCCACCGACATTGGGGTTCAGGATGTTACATATTAATATTTCAAGAGTCATATATTTCAATTAAATCAAATCATTTATCATGTACCATACTACTTTGGAATTAGAATTTTATTTACTCTTTATATTTCATCACGCGATACAATTGATCAGTATTATCGATAACTCATAAGCATCCCCTCTACGTGTGGATACTAAATAATAGTTGGTCTTTCTCATACCCCAACCCATACGAGTGCCACCATCATTGATTGCCCCCGTACCCAACCAGTATGAGTGTCATAAAAATCAATTGTCCCTATACCTTAACCCGTTTGGGCACCACAGTCATCGACTCTCCTTATGCCCCAAACCATATGAGCATTGTAAAAATCAATCGTCCCATACTCCAACCTGTATGGATGTCATAGTTGCATGTCATCCTCATACCCCAACCCATATGAGGCGCTGATAACCAAAGCCATGACTGTCTAAGATCGTATCCACAGTAGAGTTCACCTACTTGTCTTGCTAAATTGATTTTTCTGTCCTTCAAAAGACTTATTTAACTTTACTCTTAATTCTTTATTTGTAACTACCATTTAATCATATCGGGTTCATATTCAGATAATTTTATCCTCATTCACAATACCATCAGATTCTATCGAATTCGTAGTCAGATAATTTCATTTTCATTCATGAATACCATCTTAACAAGTCAAATTTATTTTCAAATAATTTCATTTTCATTCACAAATACCATCATATCATATCATATTCATATTTAGATTATTTTATTCTCATTCACAAATATCATCATAACATATCGTATTTATATTCAGATACACTATATAACATCAAATCAGTCACTTTTCTTTTCTACTTTAGATTCAAAGTTTAATTTAACTTTTAGATTTCATCGTCTTTTAAATGACTCTTTCATTCTTTATACGTTTTATCCTTAATTTCTCTCTCTTCTTTCCTACTATATAATTTCTTATTGGCCTATCTATTGGTATTCCTAATTGTTCATTCTTTTTTTATGATTATTCATGGATTATTTAAATCCTTATCTATTATACTTAATTTCAAATCATGTTTTCTTAACTGTATTATTTTAGTTAATTTAATTGTATTACCATA